TCCGACAATTAAACTTTTTCCTACTTAATTCCTGCGGATATTCTATTATTATGTCAGAAGCATCATTACAATTTCAATAACTGTCAAATAAAAAATCTAAAATAATTCCGGCCATAAACCGTCCGTATTAGATCCAAGAAAAGGATCAATATTGATCTGAAAGAAATAGATTTCAAAGTTTTCAAGGCAATGATCTGAATGGATCTAAACATAGCTGCGAGTAGTCATGAACATATTACTATATCAAATTTTGTTTTATAAATCTGTCAGGTATTGTGTTACTAAATATGTCACCTTATACAACCACTTTGCATCACATCCTTATTTCTCCCAACGTTTCATAAAACCAATTAAAGTGTCAATAAAAATTCTGCTCGCAGATGAAATTCGTAGTAGCAGCTTTGGTCGTTCTGGCAGCAGCCGGTCCCCTCGCAACCGCCTGGAAGGTGCCCCCAGCAGGCTCAGGTGCTCTCGCCAAGGAGCTCCAGGACTTCGTGGACGTGCTCCCGGTGGAGAAAGGCGTCGAAATCGTCAGAGCCTACATTGCTCAGGACAAACAAGTCCAGGCTCTCCTGAAGATCGCCGGATCTCCGCTAAGCTCAGCCTTAGTCAAGGAAGTGGAAGCAGTGCCTGAGTTCAAACAGCTGGCCAACTACATCCAGAAAGCCGGCCTGGACATCTACCTTTTGCTGAACCATTTGAACAAAGCCTTGAAGCTCGACCCGATCAAGCCTCTGTCCACCTACGTCGTAATCAGTGGCAACGGAGTCAGTGGTCTTGTGAAGGACCTGAGGGCAATCATTCCCTACGATAAACTCCATGATTTGTACATTGAGAAGGTGGAGAAATCCGCCGTGTTCAAGGACTTTGTCGTAGAAGTCAGTTCCCCCAAGTACCAAAAGTTGCACGAAGTCATAGTCAACAGCCAGAACTTGAAGAGCATTGCCCTGGAATCGAAGAACGCTGGAGTTAACCCTGATGACTTCCCTGAAGGATACAGCGTGCTCTTGACTGCCCACGTTGTCCGCAACCGGGCCTAACTTCTACAAATAATGAATTAAAACTAAAGCATGTTCTTTCCTTTGGAACATAATGAAATAAATATTTAGCTTATTATTAACTTTTGGAAAATTTTGTCAATGATTAACACTGTTCCGATGCCTTTCCCGAATGTCACTTCTTCTGTCCCTCCTCAGTTTATTAAGTGGTGAAGCTGGATAGAGTATTATAATATCATATTATCTTTCAAAGTTAAGTTTCCTTAATGGTCTAAGACAAATTCAATAATTTATAGATATAGAATTATTAGGCAGCGGATTTTGTGTATTTTTTTATTTAACACTGGGTAAACGAAACAGAGCAACGAAGACATAAGAAGAATTTTTAAACATAGTGTTAGATTACTCTTGCTTTAATAACAACATTGACTTCTCTTTCATGGAATAGATAAGGTAAATTTTATTTTGTATAAAGATCCGCAGTGTATTGATAACAAATAATGTTTCTATTTAAAAATATAAAACGAATATTAGTGAGATTATAGAGTCTCAGATGAAATCGAGTTACAGTTTCTTATGAAATTTATCTAATTTATTTAACGCTTAAGGCAGACATTTATATATTGCGGGAAGTTCTTGTAGATTGCGCAGAGCTTCGTCTCCTATGTCAAAAGTTTTGTATTGAGAGGTGTTCGAAACGCAGTCCTGCTGTTTCGTGTATATCTATTTTTTGAGAAGAAAGATACACCTTGCTGTCATAAAGAAGAAAATTCGGGACGACAAATAAGTTTGAATTTTCCACTATTTTTAACAGTCTCCTCGCCAAATTTTTATTCAAATGATTTACTTTTTTGACAAATAGGAGGATAAATGAAGATTACTTATTTGTCTCATTATATAAGAGAATACGTGTTTAAGTACGTCATGACGTAATTAATTGACCCAAATCCCCAATCTAAATGTTTAAACTTAGAAATAGTGTTAACATTGCATTTCAACATTAAAATTCCCGAAGAACTGGTACAAACACCAAGTCTAAAACTATGAACACATAAATCACACCAAATGACAAAGGAGTCAGAATAAGATAATGAAAATAATGCTGAACAATACCATTTATTATAAAAACTTCGTCATACAACAACAATGACAATAATTAACAAACATATTCAATTATTCTCTATTTTCCTTAATCCCAAAACAAAGAAATATTTTTCCTTCATTTAACCGTGATTAAATGCAGGGAAAAAAAATAATGTAGAGCCAAAAATCGAAAAGCCGAGCAAGAGAAACGTCCAAACTTCAGTGTCGTTTTTCAGATTTCTAAGCAATGACTGCCCTGAGGACGGTCAGAATGGTGAAGAGCTGCTGGAAGGCCACGGCGTCGATGTTCTTCTTTTCGGCATCCCTAACCAGAATCTGATAGTGCACGTCATTTAAGGCCTTCTTGTAGAATTCCAGGAACCTCTGGCTCATTAAGAGGTTGTAGTACTCAGTGAAAACGCCACCGGCTGCTACCTTCTCATCGAGTAGGACCTGTCCCTTTTCGGTGGATACGAGAGAGCCGAAGTCCGCGGCGAAGCCTACGAGTCCTCCTGAGATCTGAGTGTCGACGTAATCCGTGGCGTGCAATCGTTGACTGGCCAGCAACTCGTTTAGTTGTTTCAACAAATAATAGGCATCGAGACCAGCTTTCTGCATGAACGAAATCATTTCGGCATATTCGGGTGCAGCCTCGACGTCCATCATGAAATTGTACAGCTCCTTGGAGTAGAGAACCTCTATGGCAGCCTGGAACTCTTTGTCTCGAGCCAGGTATGCTATCACCAGCTTGCTCGCTTTCTTCAAAGGTATCAGGTCGAGGAAGTCCTGCAGGTCCTTGGCAAGCTCTCCTGAACCTGTCGCTGGCAGCCTGTAAGCGCTGAGGCCGGTGGCCAAGACCAAGACAGACAATACTGACACTGCGAATTTCATCTGGAAAAAAGTCAGAATCTGGGTCAATTGGGCCCACAGGTGTGGATATTGATTGGTTTTGATTGAGATTGGTTCGATCAATAAGATTTCAAGTTGACGACTTGGATAATCTTTGTTGAATGGACAATTTATAATTGCTTTATTGCTGTATAGTTTGTGAATAAAATATTAAAGTGACTGTATGGATTGGCAAATTAATCCAATCTCATGCTGCGGCAATGAAATTTTTATCAATTATTCCCTACTGTATTATTTGGTAAAATAATAGATCTTTGAAGCGAAAGACTTTATGAATGGTTTGTAGTGATTACATTTTACTATTTAGTATTCTTACAATGTGATATAGAAATTAATATACAGAATCTTGCTAATTTTATTTGTTAAAATTGTATAAATCAATGTAAATTAAAAATTGAAATATGTAATATACGAAGTGTTTGATGTGCTTGTTAGTAGAAAAGAGCAAATATGTGATGTTGAGATTTACTTTCAGAGTTGTAGCTGCTTCGGTTTCAAACGTTTAGGAGTTTTTGATACTCCCTACATGCTGGTTGCGCTTTATATATTATGCAAAAGGAAGTGTCGAATACGATAAGATTATTGGACCCAATATCACCGACGATCGTAATCGATCGACGCCGAATTTCGTCCAAAGTTCTATTCGACGTCACACACTTGGGACACGCATAACTATTATCAGATTTCATCTATTTCAGTGGAAAAACTCGAGACGCGCGCGTCGCGCGTCGTTGATACATGAGTTTCGAATGAATTTTTTCGGAAATCCATAAGAAGCTTCTTTACAAAGCTTGAGCCACAATTTCCTTTGCGAATGGTTGTATCCTTCCGAGCAAAATTCTGAATAGCGTTTATTATGATTTTATTTCACGATGCATTGTGAATTTTTACGGATTTACATTCGTAAACTACTTCTTGGGAATAGACTCAATTACGTGACTCGATAATATCTAGTTTAGGAGTGTGGAAGTAGAAAGTAGAGGGATTTCTCAGAATTTGATTAATTAACTGTTATGTGCGTTGCAAATCAAATTCAGCGATAAAATTTAAAGTGCTGTTAGAAACCCGATTTTCAGCTTCGAAAAATCTAAATGTTATCTACATGAAATATTCTTTTCTCGGAGTTTCATTGATTCAGATCGACTTTAAAAAATTACAGAATTTTCAAAATAGATTCTGTTAAATAGTGAACATTAATTTTAAGTCTGAAGAAATTTTTCATTCCAGAAAAGTAGCCTGCAATTACAAAACTTGTGATCGAGATCAATTTCAACTTTGCGAGTATGGTGATTTTATACTATTTTTGAAATTTTCCAATTTTGTAGGAATTTCAGTACCAGAGAATTCGAAAAATATATGATAAACTAAATATAATTTCAAAATTTCTTACCTTTGAAATATTTGTGATTGATCACAATGTAGAGTATTATTCGGGATACATTTGTTTCTTCTAGTTTTACCTTGATTATGTGGACATGGTTTTTAATTGATTTGGAAAAAGTTGTAGCGCAGAAATTGCTTCTTTGATCATTGAACTTCAATTCTAGTCTATAGAATTGACTTATTTTTTACGAACTAATGTAATACCTAATTTTTACTAAATTTTTTCCCATGGATCAAAAAATTTGTCAGGAAGATAATTCTTCCTTGATTTTATTTTAATTATCCTGTCCTAAACGTTCGAAACAAGAAAAATCAAAATACATATCTTATAAAGATAAACTGTAGTTCTAAGGAAATTTATAATCTACCAAGTACATACTCCACCTATAGACTTCTGATAATCATTTGTCCTAGTTCCCCCTGTGATAAGAAATTTAGAAGAACTTGACACATAAGCACGTTCATGTGGAGGAAAGCTGAGATTCATCTTATTTATTATGATATGATGCTTCATTATTTACGAGTTATTCATTAGTTATTCATTACTTCCAACAACGATTGGTATTTCCCTGATAATATGTTCTCACTGATCAACATAAAACGATTAACTGACTATAAAATGATATGTTGTATAATATTGAATAAAACGACCCACTTAAAGATAATATAAATTTCGAGAGTGGGATGCTATCAATATTTTTGTAGTAATGATTAGGTATGCAGTATATAAAATCGACGACTGATTGACTTAGCATCAATCTTCTTCTGAACCGCAACGACGAAAACATCGGAACCTCAAGGTGAGTATCCAATTAACACATATTAATAGAATACTGTTAAAATTATGTAACAAGTTGTCACTGTTCTGTACTGTGTAAGATGTTTCCCCGTAACTTGCGAAAATAATTCACTATAAAATAATAATAATATCCTATATAATAAATATCCTTCTTTATTAAATTCTATCGTCATCTCTATATTTTTAATTCCTCAATCTTTTGGAATGCATAATTTTATTATTAAATTGTACAGCACTACAATTGTTTCGTGACATTGTGAAAGTAATTTCCTGCACAGTCCAGACTTGTCCGACAATTAAACTTTTTCCTACTTAATTCCTGCGGATATTCTATTATTATGTCAGAAGCATCATTACAATTTCAATAATTGACAAATAAAAAATCTAAAATAATTCCGGCCATAAACCGTCCGTATTAGATCCAAGAAAAGGATCAATATTGATCTGAAAGAAATAGATTTCAAAGTTTTCAAGGCAATGATCTGAATGGATCTAAACATAGCTGCGAGTAGTCATGAACATATTACTATATCAAATTTTGTTTTATAAATCTGTCAGGTATTGTGTTACTAAATATGTCACCTTATACAACCACTTTGCATCACATCCTTATTTCTCCCAACGTTTCATAAAACCAATCAAAGTGTCAATAAAAATTCTGCTTGCAGATGAAATTCGTAGTAGCAGCTTTGGTCGTTTTGGCAGCAGCCGGTCCCCTCGCAACCGCCTGGAAGGTGCCCCCAGCAGGCTCAGGTGCTCTCGCCAAGGAGCTCCAGGACTTGGTGGACCTGCTCCCGTTGGAGAAAGGCATCGAAATCGTCAAAGCCTACATTAATCAGGACAAACAAGTCCAGGCTCTCCTGAAGATCGCTGGATCTCCGCTAACCTCAGCCTTAATCAAGGAAGTGGAAGCAGTGCCTGAGTTCAAACAGCTGGCCAACTACATCCAGAAAGCCGGCCTGGACGTCTACCTTTTGCTGAACCATTTGAACAAAGCCCTGAAGCTCGACCCGATCAAGCCTCTGTCCACCTACGCCGTAATCAATGGCAACGGAGTCAGTGGCCTTCTGGAGGACTTGAAGGCAATCATTCCTTACGATGAACTTCGGATTTTGTACACTGAGAAGGTGGAGAAATCCGTCGTGTTCCAGGACTTTGTCAACGAAATCACTTCCAACAAGTACCAAAAGTTGTTCGATGTCTTGAGCAAGAACCAGAACTTGGAGAGCATTGCCCTGGAATCGAAGAACGCTGGAGTTGACTCTCGTGACTTCCCTGAAGGATACAGCGTGCTCTTGACTGCCCACGTTGTCGGCAGTATGGCCTAACTCCCACAAATAATGAATTAAAACTAAAGCATTTTCTTTCCTTTGGAACATAATGAAATAAATATTTAGCTTATTATTAACTTTTGGAAAATTTTGTCAATGATTAACACTGTTCCGATGCCTTTCCCGAATGTCACTTCTTCTGTCCTTCCTCAGTTTATTAAGTGGTGAAGATGAATATTATACTGGTAGTTTCTTGTTTATACTATCATATGTTTCATCGTCTCTATTATTAATCCAATCGTAACCTAGACGTAGTATCGTGTGCCTTCTTATAATTTTCATATGAAAATATGTAAGTTTTTAAATAGTAAAGGATGTCATAAGTTTCCTGTCTTCAATGACTGTCGAAGAAATACACGCAAGGCAGTAACATTATATAAAGAACTTTTCCCGGATATAATTTGTCCTTAAGCGAATACTTTTCGTTATTTTGAACAATCATTACTTCGCCATGGTAAATTTCCTGGCGAAAAGAACACAGTATTCTCTCCCTAAAAGACGCGGGGTCGGAATTGGAACCGACAGATATGAGAATAGTAAGACACGATTCTTCGAGTCTCTCGGGTCGCCCTTATAGTTGCCGACATCTCATGAGAGAGAGAGAGAGAGAGAGAGAGAGAGAGAGAGAGAGAGAGAGTGAGTGAGAGAGAGGGGGGGGAGAAAGAGAGAACGAAACTATCTGAGCGATGTACATTACTATGAATACATTGTAATGCTAGAATAAAAACGATGATTTAACCTTTTTATTTCTAATTTTTTTAATAACGTGCACTATCAGATTCTGGTTAGAGATGCCAGGCAGAAGAACATCGACGCCGTGGTCTTCCAGCAGCTCTTCACCATTCTGACCGTCCTCAGGGCAGTCATTGCTTAGAAATCTGAAAAACGAAACTCTGCGCAATCTACAAGAACTTCCCGCAATATATATAAATGTCTGCCTTAAGCGTCTCGATTTCATCTGAGACTCTATAATCACTAATATTCGTTTTATATTTTTAAATAGAAACATTATTTGTTATCAATACACTGCGGATCTTTATACAAAATAAAATTTACCTTATCTATTCCATGAAAGAGAAATCAATGTTGTTATTAAAGCAAGAGTAATCTAACACTATGTTTAAAAATTCTTCTTATGTCTTCGTTGCTCTGTTTCGTTTACCCAGTGTTAAATAAAAAAATACACAAAATCCGCTGCCTAATAATTCTATATCTATAAATTATTGAATTTGTCTTAGACCATTAAGGAAACTTAACTTTGAAAGATAATATGATATTATAATACTCTATCCAGCTTCACCACTTAATAAACTGAGGAGGGACAGAAGAAGTGACATTCGGGAAAGGCATCGGAACAGTGTTAATCATTGACAAAATTTTCCAAAAGTTAATAATAAGCTAAATATTTATTTCATTATGTTCCAAAGGAAAGA